CTTCTTGGAATGAGCCATTGAAAGATTCAGAAATAGAAGATTTAGTTACAGATTCTCATTTACAGGTAAAATTGATTTAAGAAAATAAGTTTTCATGACAAATGCATCAGGATTGATATGCGTTCAGATTTATCTTGATTATAGGTGAAATTGTGAAATGATTTACATATTTCTCTATTTACATATATGTGTACATGTATAATCAGAAAATGAGTTGATGCTTTCTATTTGCAACTTAGTGGTAATAAATGGTAATAGAATTTGGAGTATCAGAAAAATATAAAGAGCACCTTTAAGTTTTGTGTGATTCCTGGAAACTTTAGTCTTCTACTGATGAAGGAAGTAGGTTCCAGAAGGCATTGTTCCTGTCATGAGACTTAGACCTCATAATAAGTCTCTTTAGATACTTACTAGTGAGACTTATAAGACACACTGAAAACTGTGCATGGTGGTTCATGTGTATAATCCTACCATTCTGGGGGTCCAGGGCGGGAGAATTGTTTGAGCTCAGACCAGCCTGAGCAAAGCTGAGACTGTTCCTTGCTCTTTGGCTGGGCATGTGTAGTCCCAGCTACTTGGAGGCTGAGGCAGGAGGATTGTTTGAGCTCAGGAGTTTGAGTCCGCAGTCTGCAGTCTCAGGGGTTCAGACTCTTAATTGTAAGCAACTGTAGTTGTCAAAGGCTACAAGGGATTTTGATACCACTGCACTCTAGCCAGGGCAACAGAGCAAGGCTCTGTTCCCATTAAAAGAAAAAAAGACACAAAGTAAGTAAGCATTTTCCCCATTTCTCAATGAAATAATCATGTTGATTGTATTTTATAGAAATGTAGGAAGCTACAAGACTTTAAATGATAGTAGTTACCAGTTAATGAGTATCGAGAGTAAATCAGGGTGTATTATATTTTACAATATGTCCTTATTTACCTCCAAATAATTTAGTGATGTTTCATACTATTGTATTAATCCCATATTCTGTGTGAAGAAATCGAAGCTTAAATAACATGCATAAGGTCATGTATTTAGCAAGTGGTCATTTAGAATTCAAACCTAGTTCTCTCTGGTTTTAAACTCTTTGCTGACTCCATGATATTAGGCTGCAATAAGACTGAGGATTTTTCTGCTGCTTTGTTATCACCGCTCAGTACTTGACTCTGTCTTATTCTTTGGCCTCATTATTATCTTAGTTCTTCCCTATACATGTACTCAGGGGTTCAGACTCTTAATTGTAAGCAATTGTAGTTGTCAAAGGCTACAAGGGATTTTGATATTAAGATCTTTTTTTTTTTTTTAAGATCTTTTTTGAAGAATAAATACATGAATTTCTGGGCCTATCACTACCAAAACACTTTTTCTCTGTCTTATCTCCCTAATATTTATTTCTAAGTCAAACATGATAGGTTCGCAGGCATACATAAATCTCATTCTTCTGGCTTTTTTTCCTCCCTACTTAGAAATGGGTACCCAGGAACAAAATTGCTGTCTTAGTCAGTTTTTTCTTTAACTTTTGCTGATGTGTGGGGAGCCCTTTTTTTCTACACTAGATTTCTTTACTTAAGCTGGAACAGCTAACAGTTTGTACCTTTTTTAAATACAAATTTTCATTGTCTTCAGCTGAAGATATTTTGCGTTTTCCTACCCTTGAATATTTCAAAACCATTTTTAAAGATAGGTAACATAATAAAACATAGCAATCAGTTGATAAACAGTATATACATACAGTCTTCATTCTTGGGATAGACAAAAATTACACTTTTGTTGTTTAGGCTAATAGATGCGTTATGACTTAGATGAGGCCGCCTGATCGTAAGTCCTTCAGACACGTCTAGTATCCAGTCACCTGCTCGATTCCAAGGTGCATTCATGATAGAATGATTCCTCTGGCATATTATTTGGAGGATCTGGTATTCAAACTGAGATAACACGAATTTATGCCATTTGGGGTTTATGAAGCACTTAACTACTTA